CTACACAGGGAAGATATTGTACAGTTGACTATTATGCTTTATGAAGGGGGCTGAACATGGTATATGAACAGCATAAGAGTACCAACTAATCTACCACCTAATGATAATTTTCCTCTACTCAATAATATAAATGTTTTCTGTATGAATGCCTCAACTAAATTGGTAGGGACAGGTTGACATTATCATGGCATTCTTAATTCAGTATCTGTTAATTCAACATACAGTACATAAAGAAGTGACCGTCACCTTTCTGTACAAGCTGTAAATGAAAACTTCATTCAGCACAAATGGGCACAGATTTTAGAAGACAGAGGCTTTATGTGGGAAAATATGAAATATACTAAATGGATGCCAGATTTAAAGAGGAAAACTAAATTTCTGATGCCTGAAATGTATGTAGGCCAAGTTTCACAAATACACAAATGTGTAAATACAAAATTTAACATGTAAAACTTATTCAATCCAGCCACAAAAAAAGACACACACCCAAGAATCACCAGCCATTTGTTGATTCATCAAAGCCACCAGTCTATAAAACATACTGTATGTATGTATTAACAGCTGTCAGAAAGTTGCAAACACTGAAATATTAAATGCCCCTGCAATCAGGATCACAATCAACAAAGCACCACACAGACTGTTACACTTCTCATTGAACAGAGTAGCAGAGTGAGCTTTTTTGCCTTAAACCACTTTTTTTTTTCCCTTCACCAGTTTCTGGAGAAACTCAGTTATTGTGTTACTACAATCCAGGGCTCAGACCATATCCCTAAATGCATATAGGTAATTATATACTGAAACAGATGTTTACTTCTTATAAAAATTTATATTTTTCACCCATCACTTTTTGAAAATAGAAGGCTTTTTTATCTATCTCATGGTGGTGTCAGTTTACCACACAGCACCTTCTTGTCATGGTGCTCTCCCCATAAACTCGCCTTGTGTCTGTACACACAAATCAAGATGACGTCAATCAGAAGCCTGTCTTGGAGTTGACCACAGTGTAACAGAAAGCTGACCCAAGTACAGCAGATCTGTGCATCATGCGAACACCTTCCCACGTCCCACTGCCTCCCCACCCGTTAACAACCAACACTATCCACTAATATCAATTATTGTAGGGGATAATACTGTTTACACATTTATTTACTGGCCTCACTGACTTTCTTCATCCACATTGGTTGACTTTCCTCTGGTATTACTGGTATCACCACCACGCAACCTCCCCCCCTGTGGCCTGGCTACTGATAAGCTGAGGAATTTGACATAGGTACAGCAGGCAGGAGAGTCTATGCAAAGGGAGAATTATACAAACTTTGCACTACAGTGCTGCACTATACTCATGGTGGTGTCTCAGGTTTACAGTACTCACAGTTAGTAACGAGTGGTTGCTTCACTACCATAAATGTTTTATACACAGTGTGTTGTGAAACTTGAATACCAGCTTGTGTCTACTCACAAGAAAGGATGTTTATGGTAATAAGTAACTCGAAACAAATGTAAACAAATGCTTTCTTACCATTTGTATTATACTAGTGTTCCACACAACAAAAACAACTACAAGTAAAAACCGCAGTAATATTTGTTCCAGTAACAAGAACTGTTAACTACAACTACAATGCATTATACTTTAGTGGCTGTCCCATAAGCCAAAGCAGTAAAAACTTTCATTAACTCTCTGATGTAACGCTGGAGTTTTTCAGCTTAGGAAAACAAAACAAAGACCAACAATATGCAATTCCTTAGTTCCCAAGCAACAAAGGAAGAAGTACTAATGATACAGAGCACACATGCAGGTGGGGAAAGTACATAACTCTTTGGTCTACTAGGGCTGTATAACTAATACTGAATATTTGATTATATAATTAAATATCTAACCAAATGGATGTCTCTCATATATCTCCTCTTATAGAGGCAACGCACAAAAATAAATATTCAAATAGTTGAATATGTGTTGTTTTAGAACAAATATTCAAACATTATTTTTGGCCAATTTTGATAGCACTATGGTCTACACTTGTCACTTTGTAAACCTTGAATTTCTTTCCGTTTTACAAACCACTTAAGTGTTATTGGGACCAAAAGTCCAGGATTTCTCTACCAGAGAAAGGCTTAGGCATAGCATCTTAATGAATCAATATAAATTCTTGAAATCCTGAGAGTGACCTTTGCTTTTGTGCCATTTCAGTAAACGTACATTTGCGGTAAATGTTACATATATAAAGTTTAAATATTATAAGTGGTTCAGCTCAAACGCCATGATGTGCAAAATGTCAGATGACGGGTGGCTATATTAGCCCCATTGAGTCAAGATAGTCCATAAATAGGCCACATTTTATGAACTGTCGTGACTCAGGATGGTCAGCTGACTCCAAATATCTCTTAGAACAACAGAGTGAGAAAGACTGCACACTGAGCTCTTGGTTTGCTTTGATATTATCTCTGGCTACGAGATGTGAGGCTGTGGAAGTCGACTGAGCAGTGTGCAGGTTCTATTTTAAACATTCTGTTCCTGTCGGGAGCCAACGCCAGATAACACCTGTCTGCAGATATCAAGCTGATGGCAACAAAAACAGTGCAGATGAATCACTTTCTGTTGTCTGTGCTCAAACTGATCATTAAAGTGGATGTCTGCACTTGCCTGGACTTAGTTGAAGCATCTGCTACTGTATATAGCTGTATGGGATAGCATTGTTTGTTGCATAATGATGATGCTCTTGTTAGCAATATCCAGGACTACTCCTGTTTTGCAGGTGATTTGGTGACATCCAAATCCTTCTCACATACAGTAGGAGCTCAGGAATTAACCCTATACCCCCCTCTTCAACATGAGATCACCTCTTCAAGGGGATACAAGACCAACTAAATTATTACAGCCACATTTAGTATGATTAACTTGACTTTTGATTTTTACTTCATGTTGTTCAGTGTGTTTATACCTGCTAAGCTGACCAATGTCACAGGTAACAGATAGACACTACTCTCTTTCACAGTACAATTCTTACTATACATTTTTATGAAAGCACTTTTATGCTTTCTTGGTCTAAAAATGCTCACTGCACAAACTTCATGAACAGGACACCAGCCACAAAATATCTGACAGTTCCAACGGGCACTTACTAGTGTTGTCACGATACCAATATTTTGGTACCGGTACCGGTACCAAAATGTATTTCGATACTTTCGATACTTTCGATACTTTTGGATAGTTTTTCAGACAAAAAGAGAAGGCAAAAAATGTCATTACTGACTTTATTTTAATAGAAAATCTTAGAATAACATCAAAATAAAATTCAAAATACTAGGCTTTTCTTATTGCACTCAAAAAAAAATTTTTTTTAGAACAGTCAGTGTGAGTAAATAAAAAGTATGAAGTTAGAAGTTCTAACTTAGAAAAAAATATTTTCATTACATATAGCCTGTCTTAAGTAGGACCAGTGTTTTTAAATGGTATGTTACCAGTCTTTATAACATATTAAATGGCTAAATATGTATGTAAAACACTGAACGACTGTGCTGTAACCACATTTAACGTTTTGAAAAAACACATTTTTTTATTAAAATTTAGAAAAAAAAAATCTATGTTTGATAAGAACTCTTTATCATGTGTTGCACACTTAAAACTATTGAACTATTGCATTTGAAAAGGGCACATGTCATGAGTAAATTACCTGTCGTTCCCTGAACTCAGTGTGCAGGTCTGGGTGTTTCCGCCCTTAGCCATGCATGTTTTAAAACATCGTTTACACAATGGCGCATCAACGTTAATTGCCTCTCCTTGCTCATTTGTTTTTATGCCGAAGTACTGCCATATAGCACTTCGCGCCCCTCGTTTGTCCACAAGTTGCGGGGTGGTGACTGTTACAGCAGCCATTCTCCTCTCCGTGCTCCTCTCTCTCGCTCTCTCGCTCTATCCCTCTCCCTCTCCAACGTCTCTGCTCTCTCCAAGCTTTCCTCCTGCTCCGTTTGTTGCTCCAGTCCACGCTGCTCAGTGAGCAGAGGACGAGGAAGCTGTTTCCTGCTCTGTTTTCCTCTGTTGCGGGCGGGCGCTGCGGGCGGGCACAGCCGGCGGCGCTGCAAGTACCGGTCCCATCCAAATGCAGTATAGTACCATTTTAAATGCCTCAGTACCGCGGTACCATACTAGTACCGGTATATCGTGCAACACTAGCACTTACAGTAAAATGCTGACCTGCATTTAGCCAGTGGACAGGGTTAGTTTTCCACCTTGAAAGAGGCTTGCAAGATATTAACAGGCTAATCTTGCAGGACCTAGCATGTAGTTTTGACATATGTTCAGGTTAAATACTTAAAAATATTCACGGAGGTTACTTTTTTTAAAATCGTACTATTATGCTTACAGCTTAATAACAGGTGACATTACTAGACGCAGTACAAACTTTGACCAAGTAGAATCCAGCAGGTGTGATTTGTAAATTTGGTCTAATAGATTTTTGCCTTATGGGTGAACATTAACACGATCTTGTAATGTTTTATAAGTGGGTCACGTCCGACATATAACTACATAGCCACAATACAGCACTCACAAGTGACTCACTCAGCCCATGATGCCCATTTATGGTAGGCAAGCAGGTAAACAAAATTGGCTTGTGTTAGTTAATAAGTAAATAAGTAAGCTAATGAGTTCAAGTTAAGCAACGTGTAACTAATAAATCAACGGGTCGCCGTGCAACACCGAAATAATAAATACCAAGGTCTAATGCACTCACATTAATCATTACCACCAGCGTCATGGCTGTTTAGTGTTGTTTGGCAGAATAATAAAACTGATTTACCAAAGGTAAAAAATGATATAGAGAGCTACGTACAAAGCCAAATATCAATGTTGATACGGTTGACACCTCATAATGTTAAAACCAAAAACAGCTAGCTAAGTTTGTAGCCAAGTTTTGACTTTGTATTACGTCACATATAAACTATCGTTTCAAAGGTTAAGCAAAACAAATACCACATTTAACAGCCTTCAGTCAACTGCTTACCTTCACATAGAGTCACCATAAATATAATCCAGGGCTTCTCTGAACATGTTATGGACTTATAAATCCATATCATGCACAGTTCGCCTGCATTGCTGCCATCTTGTCCAAGACGACAGGAAGGGAGAGCTCGCTCTCGGTAACGCCACCATCTCCCACATTTTAAACATTAAATAACTCCTGCATACGACCATCCATAAACACCATACTAAGCCCAAGTTGTAGCTACACCGTTCAAATTCGTTTCCTTCTTCTTAGGGCAAGGTAGCCCATCTCTGAAAGGGTGTCCGCTATCCTGTCTAGACGTACGCTCCCGCGGCCCTACCAGCCTCTAACATGTCCCTTTTCTCTAGCAACTGCAAGCGAATGTTTGTGAACTGACGGCATTGGCTAGACCAGAGTAACCGATCAATGAGCAAGTACATTCACAAAGACTCAAGATTCACGGGTATGGCATATTCATGTGCAATGCAACACATGCCAATACAATGCAAAGCCATACATAAGATAAAAAAACGGAAACATTATTTTCAATAGAATAGCCCTATATTTAGTAAAAAAAAAAAAATTGCCGAGAAGATACGCATTAAGACTGTAAAATATTAAATTATTTGTTTAAAATGAAATAGAAATGAAGGAATGGACAGCTGTGGTCAGAGGGGTTATAGCGCACACTTGACTTGGAAATAAAATGTATATTCAATATAGACTGAGCTATTTCCTTCTGTGCAAGTTAGGTTAGGGTTGAATGTCCTGGGCAGGTCTCTGTAATGAACTGACCCTTATAGGTCTGCATTAGAATATAATGTTAAAAGTGGTTTATACTGTGATAAGAATGTGTAGTAGAGACTCAAGTGAATAAACAACCTGCATATTTCATTTTATAGGCATACCATTGTTGTACCCCGTACTTTTTAACCATACTGACTCTGAGAGACGAGGCAGCCCAAGTAACTACAAAACAGTGCTGATTTATTCAAAGGATCACAGGTAAAATTAACATTACACGCTCAGGTATCTTGCACCTCCATACTGCACGCAGGCAGATGTAAGATGAAAGACCCTGAGCCCACCAGGCCTATACATTATATCTCTTCGGTTGGGCTAGCCCCATACTACACAGAAACG